AATAAGGTTTTGGGCCCTTTACATATAAGCCTTGTTGATCTAAACCCCGTGGATCGGACTCCCCGCAAACGGATAAGGAATCTGTCACCGCTGCACTCCAAACAGGAATGATCGTGATCACGAGAATAACTACTAGCTCTACTAGCTACTAAGCACAACAACATCAACCATGACAAGGAACCCGGCACCCGAAACATTCATCTACGCCTCTGAGTGTATTTAATACCGCTTGTTCTAAGCTCTGGTACCCCCTTTCGGCAGCCTGCATCTACCACAGTTTTTAGACGTCTAAGGGCCTATCCTACACGCACACAAGACTTGCAGCAAATCAGAGCCAGTCACCAGACTGCCACTCTGTCACCCTTGCAACGACTCTGGCATCAGAGCCATCCTGTTTTACCTGTCGATGCGTGGGTGTACGTTTAAGGGCCTGCGGGGTTTGGCGGGCTTGTATACTGGGGGGAATTGGGGTTTTGGGGTTGCTGTTGGTAGCTGCAAAGTGTGGCATGGCATGTTTGCGATACACGGCCTCGGGTGTTGGATACCCAGAAGACTGGGCTTTCCGGGCATAGAGATGTCGACAGGTATGAGAGAAGTCAGCTGCCAAGATCTCTTTGATGCCAGCTGCATGCCTTTATTTTGAACCCTAAAACCCTAAACTTCCAAAAGCCCGAAACCCTTCAACCCTGCACCGAAGTGCCGTCCCACTGCCCTCGTCAATAGTTGTGCTTCAAACCTCGGACATGCTGAATGGCGCAGTACTTAGATTTTGCGGTTTGAACTGCCGCAACAAATGAAAACAAAGAGCAATACTAGTTTAGCAGCCGGAGCGGCAACTGAACTTTCACGACCCTAAAACACCGATTAACATCGCACCCGAAACCTTGTTCATACTAAGTGGTCGTAGAATTCACAATGCCCCAACACCTAGACCCTAAACTTTAAACCCCAAACCCGAAACCTTAAACCCTAAACCCTCTGACGGCTAAACCCTAAAACCCTAAACCCCCAAACCCTAAACCCTAAACCCTATAAACCCTAAACCCCAGTGCCATCCTCCCCAGACTTGCTCCACTGGCCGGTCGGCCTCGGGAGGTCCTTCCAGACGCCTCTTCAACCCGAAACTTGTCAGGGGCCTTGGCTTCGGGTTTAGGGTTTTTTTCCTTAGGTTTAGGGTTTAGGGCCGTTTAGGGTTTAGGTTTGTAAGGTTTTGTGTTTAAGGTTTAGGTTTTTAGGGTTTAGGGTTTTCTCAACAGTCGGCTTCCCGGTCTGATGAAGTGGAATAGGGTCTTAGGCTCCCTTATAGTATAGTTATAATACGGGACCGTGAGGACGAATATAGGTAATTCTGCCGGCTTCTATGTTAACTCGCTCCGTTAGGTGCAGGGCTTAGGGAAGTTTAGGGCCGTTTAGGGTTCAGGCTTGAGGATGCGTGCCTACAGGTGTACCTCACTGCTCTTGTGAGCAATGTCAGAGGCTGAGATCATCAAAGTCGACCACATCGAAAAGCCAACGGCAGACTCGAGTACTCTGGAAATCCTAGCCCTATAACCCCGAATATATTCGGGCTCATATTCAGAAACCTAATAAAGATCCTGGGTTTCTTGATCAGGTTTCTCTGAGACCGTTCAAGTGGCGGGGAAGGTGGAGCGCGGCAAAGAAGCACATCCTCTTTGCCTAAGAGGCTGCGCAGAAGGCTCAGCTATGGGAAGCTATATAGTCCAGAGAGCCCAATACCCCTTCCATTGATGATAACATGAAGCCCCTTATGTTTCAAGGTCTATTCCTTAACTGAGGGGTATTGGGCTCTCTGCGAGGACCCCGGACCGACTCTCGGCCTCTCAGGGTAAAGCTTGATGTTGTCAAGAGATCTTTGAGCCAGGCCGCGAAGCTCGCAAGCTGGACAGAAGTCGCCGCCGCCGTCCTGATTTCAAAGTCCTAGAGGGGGTTTAGGGCAGTTTAGGGTTTAGGGGAATTCTAATTCCCAACCGGTTCCTATGTGGTGTTTTTATCGGGTCGTAATAGTTTGAGTAGGGTGCTGGGAATACTAGGCAAATATTGCACCGGGACTATAATGACGTGATGTGATTCGGGCATGTTTAAAAAATCTATGTTGAGTAAAGATATTGATTGAGGGTCTGGTGAGGCTCTTATGAATCATACATGTTAGGGAACTTAGCTCATGTTGAACAACCACGGCCTCAGGGTGCTAACGGACTTGTAAGGTTCTCATCGCGCTAGTAGAGAGGATATACGAGGAACGCAGCTTGAGTTGCCAGGAAAAGTGGAGGCAATAAAGGAAAGCCTTTCCTGATCGTGGCAACCTCAAGTAAGGTCTGAAACAAGATCTGAAACAAGAACTTCAAGTTCTGAAACACGAACCCAGCATCGCCCACGTAGAGTACGCGCTGGGGCCGGTAGTCTGCGAGGAGTCGGCGTAGGACGAGGCCCTGGAGCAACGAGGGCTTTAGGGGCGTACGGAAGTGTAGTTTAGGACTTTGGGGTTTAGGCTGTGAGCTTCGTAGAGCTGCAGAACTTATTGGAAGAAACCATGCATGCAAGCAGCACTTGTGAGCCCCAAAACTACTTAATCCGTTTCCACAAAGTCAAGATTATATACCCTGCCACCAAAACGAAAATCCACCTTGCACAAGTTGTCGGGGCAAAGTGGACATCCGTGGGGAGGCCCCTCCTCAGCGTAGGCTGCACCAGGGGAACTCATAGAACTTGTAATGGGGATCCCTTTTGGAAAGACTCCCTAATGAAGGAAGCCCATCAGCGAGGGCTCTGCGGACTTTCACCTGCAATGTATAGAACTTGGTTGCCTAGATACTGCGCAACGCGCGTTCAGCTTCTTTAGCATCACGCTTTCCGCGGCACGAACGGAACTGCTCAAACACTTCAAAATGGTCTTCTTGTATTGTGCGGAAACAAACAAAGCAAACCACGACACACAGCTTTATACTTGTGCTTCGAGAGGCTGCCAAGTTGCATGAAATGGACGGACGTGCAAACATCCGTCATAATTGAACTCGGCCGCATTTGTGATGATCTCCTGTGCAGCGGATCAAGGAGTCTGGCTTCCTCCGGATGTATTGCTATTTTGACGAATTCAGGGTTTAGGGTTTAGGGTTCAGGGTGTTGCAAGCCCAAGATATGAAGCAAGCATACCGGCGGTCTTACGAATACCAATGCATTGAGCCGGGGCGATCTACCGATGCAGCGAACGCTGCCTGGCCGGCAAATCCAGGGATGCCTATGCAGAGGGGGACGCGCTCTGTGACCATGGACTGCAAAACCCAGACCTATATGATGTTACATATATACGCACAGGTGTGCGTACGAAAACATTGGCACTTGCTCTTGTTCAGCGCTCGCGCTGAAAAGCCTAAGGAGGCCCGAAGACGAAGTCCTCCTCTTAAACCCCAGCCTTTAATTTGGCATTACCCTAAACCCTGGCCCTGAACCCCTATAAACCCAAAACCGGTAACCCCCTCCAGGCCCTGCGCTCCGAAAAGCAGCTTCGGAGGCCCGCAGATTGAAGAAATGCCTGCCAAAGGGCGCTGCCTATGTTTTTGGTTGTAGGGGTTAGGGTTTTAGGGGTTAGGGTTCAAGGGTTTAGGGTTCAGGGTTTAAGGAGTTAGGATTAGGTGGGTCCTTGAGGACATAGGCCCTCTCAATAAGGTCCCTTTTTTAAGGGCCAAAAGTAGGGTCAAGAAGGGTCCCCTTTTAAAGGGGCCTCCCTGATCCTACCTAGGATTATGTACACCGTAGCTTACGCAGTGTTGCCTCGTGAGCTCCTGTCTCGTCGGGTTCGGAATTTAGGGATTTGTGGTTTAAGGGTTGCTGAAACTTTTGAGTCTGGGGCCTGTTGTGGACGATATCGATGGATCGAAACATGAAACATGGGGTTTGGAAGGCCTGGGAATAGCGCTTAAGACGAACAGAGCTCGGGGAAAAGATGTGGGCTGCGAACCATGAAGCGGCGCATGACCGTCACAGGTCACGAATGCCGGCCACCCGCAGCAACACAATTACACTGCAAAGCACATTTCCGAGAATTTAACATCTGCTCTACAATCATCCAGCTGCTTTTGCGCATCGACACACTGATTCAACCATACGGCTCGAAAACGACATCTCGAAGGAATGTGGAACAGTCGGGAGACCTACTCAGAATATCTCAGAATACTGCGTTGGCAAACCCCTCGGAGAGCCTGCTTGCGAAGCAGTGCTACTGTTACTGGTGACCATTGGGAACAAGAATGATAAACACCCAGCGACAAAACAGCAAATGTTGTATCAACAAGTCCGTCCGGTTGGTCTCAGGAGACAACCAGACCCCAACAACCCCGAACCAGTAACTGCTCGAAAGATCTCGAAACTCGATGCAGGCCCTCATGACTGCAGGAAAGGGCTGCTGGTTTAATATAGGGGCTTTAAAAATCAGGGCTGCTGGTTTAGGATAGGGGCCTGAATAATTAGAATAGGGTTTGGGGGGTATCTTATACTATAACTATACTAAGGATACCCCCAAACCCGATTCTAATTATTAAGGCCCCTACATTAGGTTGTGAGAACTTGTGTTTCCGCCCTGGCCTCAATGAACACGGTATTCGCATCACTGAGCACGATTTGAGCAGCCTGCAACTTGCCCCGACGTCAAAGCGTTGTGATGCGCACTGATACGACAGAACTTCCAGTAACATGCTACCTCACGAACGATCATGTGAGTTCAAGCTGTGGTCCAAACAACAGCAGTGTGTAGCGAGAGCTTCAAAGCGATATCTAATAGCTTGTGGCTTGTGGCATCTGGTTGCGATGCATGCGATATGAGATAGTCAGGAATGGTCGGTGTTCACGTGCCGCCGCAAGTTCTGCAAATGTTGCTCAACACCAACACTCAAATTCAAATTGAGAAATGATTTAGGGTTTAGAGTTTCCCGAGTCAAGACCCAAAATGCCAAAGACCACCACAGTGAGAACTCGTGATCCAGATCAATGCAGAGCCTTGCCTTAACCTTCACCCTCAGAAACAAGCCCTGAAAGCTGTAGGATTCCACAGCAACACCAGCATTCAAAGCATGAGCTCCACCTGCCAACCCTCCATCCAGTGGTCGTAAAAGCCCGTGCGTGATTCTTGGTGTGGAGAACCCCGAAAGGCCTTGTCTAGTGATATCAGGCCGGTCATAGAAACAAAAACTCTATAGGACCTACGAAAATGCACAAGTTCAAAAGCCTCTGCTTCTGCTGCACGGCGCACGGCTAGGAGATTTTCTTCGAAGACGGGCACCTGAGCCCCCGCAAATGGAAAAGCCAAAATCAAATTTGGGCTTCGAATGGTTGCAGGTATACCTGTGGTCTCCATTGTAGTTCCTTTTTGGGATTACCTTATAGATCCGAACTCTAAAGTTGGTTTAACCAAAAAGGAAGTACAATGGAGACCATGGCATAGGTACGGCTTTGCATCTTGAACCTGCGTCCCTGGTTGAAGAGCGGTAAAACTCACGTCACGCAAGTTCCCCAAGACCGCTTGTGCAGCCCTGATTTTTGTGTAAGAGGAGCGACGCGTACGGGGGAAGAAGCCCGCGGGTTCACTCACCGATCTCAGGTGTTGTGGGTTTCAATGCAGGCACTTGCTATATATACATATATATATGACAACATGAATCACAGGCAGCCTCCTGGCGATGCTCTTATCAGTCTGTTTGGAGTCTACTGTTTACTATTTACGGAGGTAAGGTAGTTCTCGAACTTACCACCCTTATCAAACGGCCCCCTAGACGGACGCAAAATTAGAGAACTACCCATATATGGGGGATCATCACGATGTCCACTGCAAGCGTTCAACAATCCAAAGAGACTCCGGGCAAACAAGCTAAGCGGCAGCCTCGGGGGGAGGGCGAAACTATGCATAATTATCCATACTATGCTTGGGGGGGTTCCTTACCTTGAGTGTAATATAATATACCCCAAAACCCGAATTTTTCTAGCTATCAAGGCCCCTACATTACACTTGCCGACCCAAACCCGAAATCAGAAACGCTGAATGGAAGACCCTGGGCCAATGCAGAGCTGCAGCACTGAGCTGACACACTGCTCTACCAAGCCACCTTGGTTTGGGGCTAGGGTTTAGGGCTAGGGGTTTAGGGTTTAGGGATTCGTGTAGATCTGGTAGGGTTCTCACCGTTCGGGCTAACACCTTAAGCTTTAAACCCGAAAATGCGTCTTTTGGATTTGCAATGCATGTTGATTCGTGTTGCAACTGCAACCCTAAACCCTAAACCCTAAACCCTAAACCGGGCGACCGGTTGCTCCGGGCCGCACTGATGACATGCTGTTGCCACTTCGGTTGAACTCGCCCGGGACTCATGTTTCCGGTGGCGCTTCCGATAAGGAGCTTTTCCGGGAAGTTGCTCTGACAGAACACAAACTTGATGCAACAACTCGAAATGCTAGACACCTGTCAGGAGCTTGTTGTTGTCGATCAAAGGATGATGCAAATCCTCACAAAGGGATGTCTCACAGAGTTGCGAAAAAGATGGCTTGTTCTTCATGCAATGAGCCCGAAACCCTTAACCGAAATTGCCAATATTCCTTGGATATTCCTTGGATCCGAAACCCTTCAATAGCCCTGAGAGCCCCAAGACCAAGACGCGGAACCCTTCACTCATCCTCAAAGCCCCCCCAACCCTAATCTCCGAAGCCAACAAAGAACCCCTCAACCCCCCTAAACCCTGTGAACCTTTATTTAATATCAGATTTAAGGGTTACTCAAGAATAATAGTGCCGTAATATAGTATTCCAGTATTCTAGCATTGTTGTGCGGGCCGGTGGCGCGACACGCCGAGATCGAAGAGCGCCTTCATCTGGCGGTCCATCAGAGCCGTCCAGCCGTCGCTGCCTTTGGGAACGAAGGAAAGGGGTAAGGCTCATAGGGTATAGGGCTTAAGGTTTACGAGTTTAGGGTAAATAGGGTTTGGTGTCAGTAGCCAATCTCCGAAACGAGGAGCTGATAGCCAGGAGCAAAGAACAAGGGACGAATTACAGTAGCAAGGAAGAAACGATGAGCCACCAACAATAAGAATGATGAGAGGCAGTGCCATGCAAACCCATCTAATCCGAAGGGCCATGCTAACGGTAGGAATGATGAAGAAGGCAAGAACGACGATTTCAACACATGATGTAACAGTTCAGTCAGCAACTACAACACCAGCAGTGACATTGGCGTCCGGATGCATAATACAGGCGCCTCAGTAATTAGAATAGGGATTTGGGGCCCAATATACTATGCTTATAATACGGAACCCCCAAAACAATCTTGGCAACTAATCTGGGCCCCGATAGTACCGCGGTTTTTCCAGTGCATCGAAGTCACAGGGCGACCGGAAGTGGGCCATTAGTTCTGGCCGCAGCTTCTCCTTCGCAGTAGGGTTTAGGGTTCAGGATTCATGAGGTTTCTACGAGCACTCGACACTGTAGAGGAAGAGTTCATTCGCTGAAAGGATCCCTGCAATGAGCCTCCATGCTAGGTTTGCCACTGAAGGGAAAATAACGCCGAACCTTGACAAGTCGGACGCGACACTGGCCTGGCTATGCCAGCATGTACAACACATAATGGGTGCATGACAGTGGTTCAACATGACAGGCAGGACAAATTACCGGTACATATCAAACGGCCCGTCCACAAGATACATGCGTGACACCATGGACATAACATACCTTCGGCGGAAAAGCAAAAACAAGTCCGAAAGCACAACCCAGTATGGAATCCCAGCCAGTAAACCGTGCCAATGGAGACCACTGATGTCTTGTACAAGCCCGTAGTTCCTCAGCAATTTCGTAGTCATAGCCGACCAAGATCAACCTCAATTAGCCTGGAATGTCTCCAATATGGAGGCCTGCACAGGTAGAATAGAGCTTTGGGGTCTACGATACTACAAGCATGTACGAGTAGGGACGGTAGGGGGACACTGCTACTGATGATTATGCCGACCATTAGTCGTATATCAATACCGTCCAGGAATCTTCAGGGCCAGGGCTTCTGCCCAGGGCTTTCTTTGCGACTAATTGAGCCCTAAACCCTAAACCCTAAACCCCAAATACGCATTTAGGGCCGAACTGAGGTGTCGTGATGCTCTGAAGGCCTTTCGTATCAGGCTTTGGAAAACTTGGGAAATTGCGCACAAGCAAAACAGCAGCCAAGGCTCCACCACGAAGGTATCCTGAGATATTCTGCGCATCGCGACAGACAGCGGCTTTCAATACGCAATGTCAGAAAGAAATGACAAGACGATGCGGCACACGTGCAAACAGTATGAATGCATAAGAATGTAGCAAAGCAACGAGCAACTCTGGACGTGTCGAACTTTGCAGGTGAACAGTGAAGAGGTGGCAGTTGACCGCACGATTCACTACGCACTGACGGGCGACATATATCACATGTTATGTATTGTATGTGGTACATAATATGATAATATCTATATTATATATACACACACTCGATATTACTGTAGTTATTACTATTCGTATTCATGTTGAGCATTGCTTTCAGGATTATTCTCGAGCGAGTGGTGTAGACTACCCTGTAGGTACCCCTCTTACCGTTACCTAATAAAGACAAGGGCCTGAATTATTAGAACAAGGTCTTGGGGTATAGAATACTACAAGAATATTTGGATTCGAAAGGACCCTTCTGCTACTGTTGTTGATATAAACCCTGCATCACCTTAAGGGCCCTGAACTATGGGAATTATGGTATATCCCTGACTATGCCATACCTGGAACATCCCTTGTAACATTAATTCTTGCCCGGGATACTTTCCTGCTTGTTTCTGTTGGGTGTTGCTGTTTTAGCACGCTTCAGAGCAAAGGCGCTCGTAATGATCAAAAGCGCACGCTTTATGAAAAAACAAACGTGCACACTTAAGCAGGGTCTTAGGCACATATATGGTACCCAGCCCTCTAAGCTGATGTGAATGATGCTCTACCTTCTCACTGGCACTGGCAATGCAACCGCCGGGGCTCCCAGATTCTTTTCTCAGCGCTTTTCGGAAGCCTGTCTCGTAAGCTGCGTTTTGTAGCCTCCCAACATCTTTTGCATTGTGCGAAGTGCACAGCTTAGCGCATGCGTCCCCGAGCGTCTTGCTACCCTCGCGACTCTTCCAATGAAATCTTCATCGCTCCAGCATGCAGCATCTTAGTTCGGACTCCAAGAATCGCAAGATACTATGACAACCGAGAGACAAAACAATTGAGTCCTGCACTCATTGGATTAAGGCAATGTGTGCCAAGGCGGGCACTTTCAAGGAGTGTGATCCTCAACACAACAAGCTTACATCGTGCAGAATCACCAGTACTACCAGCATAGTGTAATATTGCAGTCATGGAGCGAAAAGTGTTCTTGCATGTGGAGTTTAGGCCGTACACGAAAAAGGCACCAGCCTCGAACCGATGTGCCTTTGGCAAGACAGATGTAGCCTGCCTTGGACAAGTTTGCGCAATCCCGTACCAACCAAGGACCCCCCAAAACAAGACAGCTGTATACCTTTAAAAGTCGGCCATGTCTCTGTCATCTCGTGGCAGGCCTGCCCAGCTACAGAACAGGTTTGCGGGTCCAGCCACAGTCCTTCATAGTGCAGAATCCGGAAATATACATTTGCACACGTGACGACATACACAAGCATGTCGAAGAGGTGATCGGAACACTCCTGGGCTAAGATCGATTGCGGGTTGTGCTTTATCATGCAATTCACCGGCATGCAGGTATTGCACAGATAGGCTCAAAGTTCTTCAAGTAATCCTGCAGCCATGAAGTCATCAGGGCTGTGTCAGCCCCCCTGCCGCCAGTAGCCGATGGGAAGTCTTTCCCGTTTTTCCTTAATCGTACTGAAAAGCATGATGTACCCAGCAGTTAATAAATAATGTATGCATTCAGGGCACCCCAGTTTGAATCCAGATTTTGTGAAGGAGCGTATGCTTGTTGATTTTCCATTCGTGGCACACCAACCAACGAAGTCACTGTAGGCTGCTGAAAGCTTGCTTGGCAAAGCCCTGCCAGGAACCAGCTGCAGCTTGCAAAGCAGCAGTAGGCCTGAAACCACAAAGTCCTTTCCACACCTCAGCTGAAGCTTAAGGCCTTAAGGGGGTTTCGGCTTACCGGGTGTTACAGCTTACAGCAAGTTGATTTGGTTGCATATGAGATGCCCTATGTGCCAAGTGTGCGCCGGGTCGACCAAACCACGGGAGGGTTCCTGGAGCCCAGGAATTCGAAGCAATGGAGATTGCTGTACCTTGAAGGGTGTCGCGCCCTTGGAGAAGTGCCAGGGTGCATCAGGATGCAGGTTATACCATTCCTCAGCTGCTCGGGGCACATGCGTGTTATACAGAGTGGCGCATGCTTCGTGCCATTGGGTCTCGTCACTGCAGCAGAGATGGCACTTCCGTCTACATTGCCAGCCTGTCGACAAAGACATAGCCTGGCCGGTAGCAATGGCAGCAGACAGCATTCAACAATCATCCGCATCCCACCTTCCTTAGGAAGACCCAGTCCCCCTTGACTCCCAGCATAGCGAAATGCAACTTGATCTTGCCCGTCTTCGTCGCAACCTTGAAACATGCAATGTGAAATGAGGTGTGCGGCTGGGGGACATGTCTGTTCTCAGCAGCGGTTGCGACCTTGGTGCAGTTATGCCGGTTCTGAAGAGGCTAGTCAGGTCGGAGGCGAGGGCACCGTTGAGGGCATCCAGAGTTGCATCTTTCCAGTAGAGCTCTGCCGGGAGCACAGTGTACAGAAATCGAGTGCAATACGTGTGCCTAAGATTGCTGCGTTGTATAATATACAATAAGATGTGCATGTGTGTTCACAAACGATGAATTATTCCTATAACCGTTAATGGGACACGAGGCCCACTCGAGTTTTTGTGGGTTTCACCTCGAAAAGACACAGCAGGTTGAAAAGCCTCCACCATAATCGGCAATTTATACTTTCCTCGTCCTTCGTCCCCGTGCAGATAGATCGGCACAGTGACGGATTCATCTGGTGAGTCTGCTTGGTGCATGCAATGGCTTCTGTCGTGAAGCTTATACTTGCGCCAAAACTCTGTCAGTGAGGCTTACCACTTTGCAGTTTCTTCCAAGTCTGCACCTCCAAGAAGCAGGTAAGAGTGATTCTTTAGCAAGAATTCAATCCATGTGCTGGGGTAGATCACGGGATAGTAGACCATGACCTTCTGGACTCTGGGGCGCCTTTTGCGAACTGGAGCCCGAACCAGGCTGATGGCAACAGGCACCGTTACCCCTGACCGGTGTATCAGCCGGTGTAAGTTCCGGCACACGTTCGGTGCACTTCGACCAGCAGCTGCAATCTTGTAAAGCATGTCCAGTTGTCCTGGGTCAACCAAATGCTACTCATGTCGGCCAACTCTATAGTTTGCAAGTACGTATACGTGCGTGGTACATGCATGCTTTTGACACACATGCATATATAATTATGATTAGTGCATATTGCAAGCTAACGACGGCTGCCAGCACCGATCTTGTACACCATGTTGGCCATATCCGTGGAACCCTTTGCAGATTCTGCCTCAGTTCTATAGAACCCAGTGCACATGGCGGCTGAGCACGTAGGAGCTCATATTTGTGCCGGAGACACTCCACTGAAGTACTTTGAAAGTATCTGATCTGACACCTCGAGGTCCAGATCATGATCTTCTTGCTCGCGCTGGGATCGAGGTCCTGTGGTTTGCAGATAATTATAATGTACGGTACCATTTCAATTTCAGGCCTTGTAATTTAGAGGGTCTAGGCTAGGGATGTGGCAGGACGGGGTCGTTGCAAGTTCACGGGGAATGATTTCGGAGATCTACCGGGTGTAATTATAATTTATATAAGTGAACTCACTCAGGGTTAAGGGCCATATATAGTTCATGTAATCGCACGTAGAAGTCATATTATGATCGTGGGCTTCGAGGACGGATGCTGTCAAGGCACTGCCAGCTAAGCGGTTCAGGAGCGGATCCTCGACGGAAGTACCTGGCCGTATATAGAGAACAAATATTTATTAGATATACATGCAGTAAGGGGTTCGAGGTAGCATCAATCGAGCTGCGTGTGGGTTCACAAATCGAGACCCGTTTTTGCCTATCCCCAGCAATTCTCATCGGAAAGTTGGCACACATGGCTGTCATGCGTGTAAGATCCATCGGTGCATACATCAAATTAGACAGCTCGTAGTTTGCCTGTGGTAATATGGTCCTCGCAAGCAAGCGGCTAGGCCTGAAGCTGTAAAGTAGCGACTTGTAACACCACAGGCAGCATGGCTGACATCTATACATCAGGAAAAGTTCAGCTTACTTCTTTTTAGAAGCAGGCTTTGCAGCAGCCTTGCGTTTCCCAGGCTTGCCTTTCGACTTGGGGCTGGCAGTGGCCTTGGCCTTTGGCGAAGCGGTTTTGTAAGTCCTCGGGACAACAGGCTATGAGTTGTAGGGTGGAACGTTGCTTATCATATAAGCTGAGAAGCCTTGCTCTGACCATCATAGAGTTGAGGGCAAGATCGAGCCGGGTACAGCTTGCGTAGCACTGGAGCAACTTCTCCTTGGTGGTCCTGGGGCTAGGGGTACACGGGAGCACTGTGTGGCGTAACGATTAGCTAGCTAAACCCTAAACCCTAAACCCTAAACCCTAAACCCTAAAACCTATAAACCCTAAACCCTCTGCAGATGACGTACAGGGTCCTGCTGGGCGGCGTGCCAGCATCCAACACAGCATCAGTCTGGAACTTCAACAGATCCTTATGCCTTGCCTCCAGCTCTGTACTCCTCTCGGTCATATCGTTCCCCAACCTGTGGTATGGTGCATGCAGCAGCTAGTACGATCGACCGAGTGCACGTATAGCAGGAGTCTATTGCTTGCCAAAGCACGTCACCGCTCGAGCATTGCCCGACCCTTTCAGTTTATCCTCGGCCCCACATAGCCGCGTGCACACACAACACACACACACACAAGCTTGCAGGCCTGCAGCTCCGTAGCCTTATCAACCTTCTTGCCCGTCATATCGATGTATGTAGCCAAGACACCTGGGATTGCACATGCATGCGTATTCATGCAGCTATGCATATATATTAATTATAAACATGGCAACTAGCGTTTGATGCATGCAAGGCACTGAAAACATCTTGGTTCGCTTGCAACACAGGCAAGCACTTCTCTTTGGCGGAAGTAGCAG